GAATTGCCATCACTTCTATGTGATCATAGATCTTATTTCAGCTCGTATAACCTATCCCTAAACACATGTATATTGTGACTTTTATGCTTTCACTGAAGATTCTCGAGGTTTAGAGGAGAGGTCACACTGCAGAGCACACAGGCTTCCATTTAAAAAGAAAGCCTTTAACACCCATCCCTCTGGTCCAGATATTGTGACACGAATGCGTGCAAGCCATGCACCCACATCCCCCAGCCGCGTCCAGATGCCGGCACCGAAGCCAACAATGTTCGTGGCCACCAGGTGCTTTCAGGCTAACGGAGGAGACAGACCATGAACCAGCAAACGGATATATAAGCAAAAAAAAAGGCAGCAAATCCATAGAGAGAGAAAGCCGACCAGGGGCTGCCAAGGGCTGAGGGGAGGAGGGGATGGGGAGTGAGTGCTCCATCCATAAAGGGTTTTGTTCTGGGATGAAAATGTCGGGGAACTTGATGGAGGCGGGGTTTGCACAACATTTTGCATGTACTGTCACTGAAATGGACACGTTAAAATGGTGCATTTTATGTTGTGTGTAATTTACCACAATTACTTTTTAAAAAAAGATATGTGTAGATGCTGTAGGTTCTGTAGAGGAAATTAGGCATTGTAAGAGAGAGATCGGGATGGGACTCATGGAGAGTGCGTGGCTAGGGAAGCACTCAGCCTCGTGAGGATCTGGGGAGAGAGCATTCCCCCGAAGAGGGCCACCGAAGATGGGTGGTGATTAGGTGGGAGAGGGCGCAAGGGCCAGCAAGAAGCACTCTATTTTCTCTGAGTGCATTGGAAGCCAGTGAGGCGGGGAGATGAATGAGCTAAGCAGGTGTTGCGACATTTCTTTGGCTGCTGTGCAGAGAAAGGGTTGCAGGGAGTGAGCGTGAAGCAGAGGGGACCTACGAGGAACATCTGCAGGAGAGTACAGGGTTCCAGGCGGGGCTGTGTTCAAGGTCAACACTTCCCCAGTGGGGCTCAGGAGAAGGGAACTCACAGAGGCTAGGAGGGCCTGGGCCTAGGAGGCGAGGTTGCCATGGTTACTGGATGGTTCCCAGGAAACAGAGAAAAGGCAGATGCCCCGAGAAAAGGAGTGTGTCACACAGCTGTCGTCGGGGCCTGGACCGGGCCCATGTGGGGGAACAAGGCCGGGACAGATGTGCAGCAGCAGTGGCTTAATTCTGAGACACGGAGAGGATGCTCAGGAGGGTGTCTCAGAGCTGCTTCTGGTTGCTGCCCAGGCTAAACCAACAGAGAGGGGATTCACAGGGTCAGCCATGTTCAAGAAGCAGGCAGGAAGGAGGGTGGGGAAGGATATCTGGCTCCCAGGCAAAGGACGTCCAGATGGATACAGAGGTGGTCACAGAGGAAGCACTCTAATACCGACACAGTCGTTCGTGACAGAACAGACAGGTCCAGGTGGGGAGGCGTCCTGGGTCATGGCAGCAGTGGAATACGCATCTCCTGGGTCCTTGTCCTAGGCCACACCCAGCTCCCCCCAGCCACCACCACTAAGAAACAGGGATGACCGAACAAGCACGGAAGGGGCTGGAGGTTGTGAGGCTCCACAACCCGTGACATGTGATGGGGGCTTTTGTGGGAAAAGGGCACCTAACAGGGGAAGAGGGTGTGAAGGCCATGGTAACGTTGGAGGGGCTGGGCTTGAATCTCCAAGGCACCCAGTATCAGAGCGTGCCTCGCCAGAGTCCTGTCAGACATCAGATTTTGCCAGAAATGGGACAAAACAGCAGACACCATGGTAGACCTCCATGGTATGTCCAGGCACAACTGGATAGCAGAAAAGTTCTCAGGGACAGGGCGCACCATGCCCAGCCCCGCCCTCCAGGGCCTGAGCCCTAGCGACAGCAAGGTCATGTCTGCTAGGAGCTGAGAAATAGCCCCAGAAATGAGGCAGTGGGAGGGAGGCTTTACGGAACAAGACAGGGCTGGGGCAATGGGCAGGAGCAAGCAAGGCATCATTCCAGGCTCATCGGGCCTGAGTAAGTCATGCTCGGAGATCCCAAGAGGCACACACCTCAACATGGCAGATCCTTCCCTCAGGACACAAGCGGGGTGGTGAAGGTAAGAGAAAAGGTCCAGACAATGGACCATGTCTCCACTTACTCCTGCCCTGAGCCACCATGTGGCTGCTGGGCCCCAAGCCTCACTCCTGGCACACCAGTCTGCTGTGTTCCCTGGGATCTGTCTACCCCCAGTCTCAAGGGCCAAAGAGTATTCTCTGGTTCGCCAAAGTCAGCACTCAGTCGCATTGCACAAGAGGATGAAGAAGTATTCACGTATTCGCTTATATAAATGAACAAATGAACGCATGCACAGATCATTTGTTAAATTAAAGTCTGAGTTGAGGGGTGCCTGGGTGGCTCAGTCAGTTAAGTGTCCGACTTCGGCTCAGGTCATGATCTCACAGTTTGAGGGTTCAAGCCCTGCATCGGGCTCTGTGCTGACAGCTAGCTCAGAGCCTGGAGCCTGTTTCAGATTCTGTATCTCCCTCTTTCTGTGACTCTCCCCTGCTCACGCTGTCTCTCTCTCTCTCAGAAATAAATAACACATTAAAAAAAATAAAGTCTGAGTTGAAACATGAATGAATGGAGGGGTGCCTGGGTGGCTGAGTGGGTTAAGCATCCAACTTCGGCTCAGGTCATGATCTCATGGTTCATGAGTTCGATCCCTGCATTGAGGTCTGTGCTGACAGCTCAGAGCCTGGAGCCTGCTTGGAGTTCTGTGTTGCCCTCTGTCTCTGCCCCTCCCCCACTTGTGTAGGCTCTCTCTCTTTCTCTCTCTCAAAAATAAACAGTTTTTAAAAATTAACATTAAAAAAAAGTGAATGAGTAGAAATAAACATCAGTCACCAGACCCAAGGCCAAAGTCAAGGGATGTTCTTCTCAACTCCACTTCTTAGCATTTAGGTGACTTTGGAGGGACTGAGTCACTTCCGTGAGCCGTGGCTTCCCCATCTGAAATGGGTTCACAGGGCTATGGGAACACTCAGTGAGGGCAGGCACCTGATAAATGTAGGACACTCACAGATCAGATGGGGGCTTGTAAACCCTTCATCATGATTCCAGAACACACAGCAAGCACCTTGCATCCCAGACCCTTACAGCAGAAGTTCTGCAACCTTCTGAGGCAATGTCAGCCCCCCAGAGCTCGCCGCGGTCCACCTGGGCACTTCCGCAGGCAGGACTGAAGCAAAGAGCTGACATTTGAACGAGATCCTGACCTGAAATACACACACTCCTCAGTGTGTCTCCTCCTCTTCTCCATTCTTTTTAAATCAGAAAATTAATTACCCGGAAAAGAGTCTTCTGCACCAGAAACCCAAATGAGTTTAATGTATAATTTACACATGAAAATGTAGATGTCAGTGTGTGACAAATTGCCATAAAAATGTTTTTGCAGTTAAATTTTTAGGCATCTGTCTTCCTCCCAGAAGAGCCAGCCTGCAGACGGTGTGAGGCCCCAGGGCCCAGGCCGAGTAGGGCCGGAAAGGCAGCCTGGCATCCTCACCAGCTTGTGACGGCAGTTGCCAGGGCAGCCCGGCCCGGAAGGCCCCGGCCTGGGTACCAGCCACAGACAGCCAAGTCGGAGCTCTCCCCTTGGGTCCTGTCTTGTGTCTCATTCAAAATGGGGATTTAACTGCGTGCCAGCTCTCCGCTAGACCCAAGGATGGAAGACAGAATGCAGCATGGTCTCATGCTCCAGTGGCTTTGGGGCCCCGGGGAGCGCCAGGCGAGCAGATGATAAAGGACAGACAGCGTGGCGAGTCCTCGGGCAGGGGCGGCCACTACCCTCCAAGCACCTGGAGAGGAACAAGTTCTTCCCTGCACGAGAAGCCTGCCCCAAAGACTCCTGGGAGTGGGGACTTGTCCTGGAGGAGTTTGTTGGGAGGCTGAAGGGGGCTGGGGGGGGGGGGGGGTTTGGCGTTTCCAACAGCAAGAACTACTTGTGCCAAGACAGAGGCGAGGTAGAGCAAGTGTGTCCCCGTGGGTGTGAGCGGGGCCTGTAGCACATGGCAAGGACTGTCAGGCGGGGAGCCTGAAGTGGAGAGGAGGAGCCAGGTCGCCAAGACACCTGCACGCCCAGTCCAGATACCGGACTTGGTCCTGGATTGAAAACTTGAAACAGATCAAGTCTACGCCTCACTCTGCAGAACAGTATGGAGACCGAGGGGAGGGTTGCTGGGAGGAGCGAACGAGAGAGGGGACGAAGGGGCTCAGAAAACCGCAAAGTGCAGCATCCACAGAGAGTACCACCAACAGGGCCCCCAAGCCCCGTCCCAAGCCTCAGCGGCCTGACGACCTCACATGGCTCTTCATCACAAGTGCACCAGTCCTCAGGCGCGTGACCGCACAGAAGCCACCTGAAAGGCAGGTGGGCCTCCTGTTTCTTCTCCGCAGCTGCTACTGCCGTTTGGGGCTGGTCATTCTTTGTGCGGGACATTCCCTGACACCCTCTTTCCAGAAGACCAGCAAGGCTCAAGTCACAACACCAAGCATCCTCTCACACGAAAACAGGGAGGAGAGGCAGGTGTACTGTGCGAGGGCCACCGTGCTCTGCACGCACAAGGGAGGGAGGGACTGCGTGTCCTCATTGCACTCTGGCCCGCCATCCTAGAGCCGCAGGGGAAGGTCAAGAGCATGCCCTCTCCCTCGCCAGGCAATCACCAACCACGTCTGAGCCCAAACCGAGATCCCAACGGTGTCTTCCCAGAACTTGGGCCTCCCACGGCAAGACAAAGCAAGTCCCCAGTCCCCATCCCCATCAGGGCCTCCGGGGAGCCCCGTCTGCAGCCTTAGAGCCTCACAGACCTGGTCAAAACACAGAGACCAGGTGAATGAGGCCAGACGCTCACCGGACAAGGCTTTCAAGTCCCCAGCACTCATCGCATTAGCGCTCGTTTGAAAGAACGCAGCCTTGGCATCAAGAACTTTGCCACCTCCTGGGAGGCCGGGGGTTGAGCCCTCGGTGACTCCCAGCCACGTACCTCGCTTGACTTTCGGGGGCCTGAGGCCCTCTGCCTCGGCCAGGGCCTCCCAAGCCTCGCGCTCCCTCCAGCGCCTCAGCTGCTCCTCTCGCATTTTGTAGAAGAGGATGTGCTTCTGCACATCACTGAGCTCAGCGAGGAGTTCGGGGTCGATGTACATGTCGTTCAGGATCTGCTGCAGCATGATGTCGCCTGGGGCGCACACACCAGAGGGCGGCCAGCCAGGGAGGCCCTGCCGGACGGGTCACCCCAGGCTACTCCTCACCCCTGGCTCCTCGCTCTGGGGCCACTCAGGGGACCCATTCTCTGTGCAGCATCGGCACTCTGCCTCAGCTTCCAGCCAGGGACAAACTCATCTCCTCTGCCCGGGACAGCGACAGGGGCCAGGCAGCAGGAAGCTCAGAAGCAGCCGGGGACCCTGATGGAGGACAGGGCAGGCACCAGAAGCAATCTAGCCCTTCTGATGGGTCCCCAGCTGCCACATCCCAGCAGCGCTTGTGTCTCGGGCTCCCCTGGGGTTCAGGGACAATGGGGAGGGTCAAAGCCTCCCGATCTGCAGGGCAATGCCGGACTCGGCCCTGCCTGGGCCGACAGGTGTCGAGTGATCTGTTAGTGGAAGGTAACGATGACACCAGCTATATCGATGACACTGCCCCGGCCAGCCAGGAACTGATCTCTCCTCCGCGGGTAAGAAGAGGAGGAGGCAGCTCTGCCTACTAATTCCATGTCTTTGGAGCCAACTTCAAACGGGCCAGAGGAGGCAGCCAGGAGTTTCTAGGCTCCTCAGCCTCTCCCTCTCTCTACCTGCTCCACCTTGCCAGCCTCCTTCTTTTCCAGAACATGGGGCACCCTGAGGTAATGTTTTTAAAACTCTGCCTTCTAACCGTGTTAGAGCCCAGCAAGAAAAAAAAAATCGACAGGGTCAAGGAAGGGTCTTTCTCAAGGAATTAATTCAAGGACACAAAGGAGGCCAACTCCTCTCTGCTTCGCTATGACGAGGTCCTAAGGCTCTGCATCTGCCTCCAGGGATCAGTTCTGGTTGCTGCTGTTGATGTTTTTGCGTGTTGTGGGTGCCTGGAGGCCACCAAACAGAACGATGCTGGGTTTTCTCTGTGCCCCGGATCTGAAGCACCCTGGACAGAGCGTGCTGTTGCGTTCACATGAGTAGGACTGGGCCCCAGGGGTGCTCAGGGCTACTCACAGCTGCCCGTGTAACCCCACAAGGAAGCCGGGCTTCGGGAGGTAAGTAACCTGCCTGTGGTGACCCAGTCCAGAAGCTGCCACCTTGGGATTCTACCCAGTTTTCAAATTTGACATCCACTGGCAACTGTGAATCTTTTGATGGCTTAAAAATGTAGCCCCACCGGGAGAAAACAACCCAACAGGGTCTGGCACTGTGGCCCAGTAGGACTGGTGACCTTCATGTCCCCTTCCCTCCCCATGAGGGCCAAAGGTGGATCAGACCCCCCAGGGTGATGGAACGCAGGTGTGAGTGGGTCCTCTTCTCCCTCTGCTAGGCTAACACACGGCAGAATAATTAAGCTGTTGGGATGAGCTTCAAGGCACAGGGTCAAAATCAAGTGTGAAGGGCCAGGCTGCCCCTCCCCCAGGTCTAGCCGGCTTGCTGCAGCCTGCGCACAGAGGCTCTGGCCACGCAGGGCCCGGGGCCCCCAGCCTGCCCTCTTCTGTCCCCCCAGCTCAGACATTCTGGCGATTCCCCCACGGGTGTCCTGGTTCCCTCAGCTTCTTGTGCCTGGGGCACAGCTCACCACGCCCTAGCTGCGGCTGGGCCGGAGCATGGAGTCCGGAGCGGAGACAAGGGGACAGGGGCACCGAGGGAGTCCAGCCTCCTGCTGGCAGCCTCCTTCTTTCTTTGAGGAAGGGGGGGTCAGGCGCCTACAGCCAGAGGGCGGACAGAACGCAGAGCAGGAAAGGGCAGCCTGCGAGTGCGCCTCCGCGGCGGGTGGATCTGATGGCACTCTGAGGAGGCCACCCTGCCGGGAGAGGGGGATGGCAGCCAGAAGGAATGACCCCCGCTAGTGCCTGTTTCGTGCCGCAGGCAATCCCAGGTCGGGGCGGGGGGGGGGGGGGGGGGGGGGCAGGCCGAGCCTCCGAGCGCAGCCCGGGCGCGGCGGGATCGGCTTTCCGCGTTGGCCAGGAGCTGGTAGGGGCTACTCTGCCCACTCCGCGCCACCTCCCACCCGCCCTCCCCCGCGGAGGCCGCTCGGGCCGGCCTGGGGCGCCCCCTGGCGGCCGGTGTGGGCGCCGCGAGGAGGCGGGGAGCCAGCCTGCTGGGAGCCCAGGGGACCGGGCGGCGCTTGGAGGTGACGCCAGGATCTGGGTGGAGGGCCACCCGCCGCCCGACGCCATGCGGCAGGGACACGGTGGCTGTCAATGGCCGCCACCCCAGGGGCAGGGGCCACGCAAACGAAAGGAGTACTGGCGACTAAAAACGAGGCGAGGGGCCCCTGGGTCTACAGTTGTCTGCCGCTTTTCAGAGGCTCTTTGTTTTCATTGGTCATTGGCCGATGCGATGTGTTTAATATTGCATGCTAACGCAATTCCTTCTGGGGCAGGAGGAAACGCAAGCAACGCGGTGCAAGGGACTGGAAACCACCTGAACGGCCCTCTACAGGGTGGGGTGTCCCTAGTACGGAGCACTACACCTGTCACAAAGGATGGGTCGAGCTGTCTGCTTTGGCGAGGGAAGATGCCCACGGCAGATAAAACGAAAAGGGGACGTGCAGAATACTGTGCACAGTGTAATCCAGTGTTTAAATTCTGTATGTGATTACTTTTGTGGAGACAAAGGAAACCTAAGGAACACACCCGTGGTTTCTTGCTTTCTCCTTGGAAAGGCGAGGGAGACCACTATAGAAAATTCTATATTGTTGTAAGTATGATAGATGACTGAAACTAAATGTATTTCAAAAGTCCTAAAATGTGATTCCAAAATTCTGGTCTACACCTCCACCCTCACCTCCACCCCCAGGGCGGGAGGTGTAGGCAAAGCCAGAGAGCCCTGGCCAGGAAGGCTACGCGGCATGGGGATGGATAAACTGCTCCTGCCACCAGAGGTTCCCAAGCCCCTAAGCCTCTTGGGGACATTCCTCAGCTCTGGTGCTGGTGCCGAGAGGAGACTGGAAGAGCAGGGGGGCAGGGAGGACAGTCACCTCTAGGGGAGAGGTGATAAGGACAGTACGGGGAGCTGCCAGTGGGGACTAAGGAGAGAAGATTTGGGAGACATTCTTGTCCCAGAGCCTCCTATCAGGTTATTTCTGCATCTGCTTAAAATCCTCTTAAACTTTAAATCAGATCATGGCATTTTCTGCTGGAAACCTTGCACGGGCTTCCATTTTACTCAGAGTCCAAGCCCAAGTCCTTACAGGGATCTGCCTCTCCCCACCCCCTGCCCCCAGATTAGCCCTCCCACACCCCTCCTTCCGCTGGCCTCCCCCACTTTCCACAAACGCACCAGGCACCTTCCTCCTCAGAGCCTTATCCCGGGCTCTTCCTTCTGTCTGGAAGCCACAGGGTTCGTTTACCTCCTTCACCTCTTTGCTCAAACTTTTAACTCCTCTGTACTCTTGATCCTTCTTTACTCAGCTCAGTTTTTTCCCTTATTACTTACTTTGTAAAATACCATTTTACTTGTTTTCTGCTTTTGTCTCTCCCTATTAGATAACAAGCTGTGCTTCATTGATGCCCTCAGTGCCTACGACACTGCTTAGTGTGCAGCAGGTGCAATAAATATCTATTGGAAAAGAGAAAGGGGGTGCCTGGGTGGGTCAGTTGGTTAAGCATCCAACTTCAGCTCAGGTCATGATTGCTCGGTTCATGGGTTCAAGCCCTGCGTCAGGTCCTGAGCTGACAGCTCAGAGCCCGGAGCCCGCTTTGGATTCTCCCTCTTTCTTCCCCTCCCCTGCTCACCCTCTGTCTCTCTAAAATAAATAAAACGTTTAAAAATAATTTAATAAAAGAAGGAAAAGAGAATGAAGGAAGGAGCTTTCAAGGTAGAGTTGATTACAGCCTGTGCAGATGGTGGGCAAGTGTCAAGAACAGGACTCAGTGAGGTTGCTAGAGGCTTGGACATAGGAGACGTGACCAGATTGTCTAAATCTATGGGGCGTTAGGTAGACTGATGGTCCCGCTATAGGCTGCCTGCCCTGGCCGTCCCCTCATGCCCTAATCACATGGTCCCTTGAAGGCACAATCCAGCGATGGCCAGAGAATCCCATCTTAGCCCCGGGAAAGCCTGGGTGCAGCCACCATGGAAGGATGGGCCCCAGGAAGGCTCTCTCATATTCTACTCACCTCCCCTGGCACAGACATTTGGGGAAGCCGCTTCTAAGAGCACACTTGGGATCTCAACCTGGTCTCAGTTTTGCCATCCAAGGGCTCAGTGAAAGTCCACAGTGGTTTCTGCCCTCTCACCAGTTCAGCTCCAACACTGAAAGATCATGGCCATGAAAACCAACTTTTAGCTCCTCTGGTAAAGGTGTCCCTGAGAAGTGCAACAACGACTTAGAAAATACAGTGTGAAAAAGATCCCATTCACAGTGAGAACCAGAGATGAAATACTGGGAGTGGGTTTGACAAATGGATTTGACACATGGGGAGACCCATATTCAGAAAAGTAAAACTCCTGGGGCGCCTGGGTGGCTTAGTCGGTTAAGCGTCCGACTTTCGCTTAGGTCATGATCTCACGGTTCGTGGGTTCGAGCCCCGCGTCGGGCTCTGTGCTGACTGCCAGCTCAGAGCCTGGAGCCTGTTTCAGTCTGTGACTCCCTCTCTCTCTGACCCTCCCCTGCTCACGCTGTCTCTCTCTCTTTCCTAGAAATAAATAAAACATTAAAAAAAAAATTAAAAAAAAATTACTGGGCTCCTTGAAAAGTACAGCATAGAGAATGTAGTCCATAATATTGTAGTAACATTGTATGGTGACTACACTCACTGTGGTGAGCATTGAATACACGTAGAATTGTCAAATCACTATGTTGTTCATCTGNCAGTCTGTGACTCCCTCTCTCTCTGACCCTCCCCTGCTCACGCTGTCTCTCTCTCTCTCTCCTAGAAATAAATTAAAATATTAAAAAAAAAAAAAAGAAAAGTAAAACTCCTCCCCGAGGGTGTGCCTAGGCTTTCCAGGGCTATAAGAACACACCACATTCACAGTCAGAAAGA